CTTCCTTCCTTCCTTCCTTCCTTCCTTCCTTCCTTCCTTCCTTCCTTCCTTCCTTCCTCCCTTCCTTCTCTTTTATTAAATCTATATGCTGCCCATCTCCATATCCAGAGCAACTCTGGGAAGGGTCACAGTGCAAATTTGGGCCTGAAGAGGAATGGAGCCCCCCTGTAGTTTCTCCGTCCTGAGCCCCATCCGGGACCCTCTAACCGGCCCCCCTCCTCTCCCCCCCTCCCGCAGGCAGCGTCCCGCCGTCCAAGAACATCTCCTCCTGGTTTGCCTCGAAGGGGCTGGGCAAGACCCTGGACGAGATGACCGTCTCCATCCCGCACGACATCTACGTCTTCGGCACCCAAGAGAACTCCCAGGGGGACAAGGAATGGGTGGACGCCACGCGCAGCGCCCTCAAGGACTTCACGGAGATCGAGTACCGGCTGGTGGGTGCGCAGGTGTTGTGGGAGGGGCCCCCATCCTCCCCCCCCCCGAGGGTCTCTCTTCTGACCCAGCTCTCCAAACACGGCAAACCCTGGTGTGAACTCAGACGATTCCTTTAATTAGGAGCCCCGGCAAAACGTTCCTCTTGCAGGCTCACAGGTCCGTCCGTCCGGGAGAGGAGGAGTTGTCTGCCACACCTCTTCATCTCCGCCCTCTGCCTTTTATCCCCAGAGCTGGGGAGGGGCTTCGCTAGCAGCGGTGGCTCTTCCGACCCAAGGGCCGGCCCATAGATCTCCACTGCTCTCCTCTCCTCTGCCTTCTGTGTATCCGCAGCTGTTCCTCCTTTTCTTCATCAGCCACTTCCAGACCTGGGGGCTGTTGAGGGCTGACGGACAGGACAGGCTCCGCCTCTGCCTCCCTCCCTCCCTCTCTCCCTCCCTCCCTCTCTCTCCCTCCCCCCCTCTCTCTCCCTCTCCCCCTCTCTCTCTCCCTCCCTCCCTCTCTCTCTCTCTCTCTCTCTCTCTCCCTCCCTCCCTCCCTCTCTCTCCCTCTCTCCCCCCCTCTCTCTCTCTCTCTGCCAGGTCCATTCCCTCTTCCCCCTCGGAGCTCTCAGGTTGCTCTGATGCTGACCCCGACTCTCACACCTCCTCCTCCTCCTCTGATCTGGCTGTTGGAAGGGCCGGAGGCTGACAGGCCACAACACTTTCTCTTATAAGTCTGCCTGGCCAGAAGATGAGGAGTATTCTGAGTAGTCAATTCATCACCACCCCCTGCCTTTTATCCCCAGAACCAGGGTGGGCCTTCACTAGCCGCAGTGGATCTTCCCCCTCGAGGACCGGCCCATAGATTTCCACTGCTCTCCTCTCCTCTGCCTTC